TGGCTAGTGATGGACAATACTTTGAATAAAACATAATGTACCGTTCTTTCACAATAAATTCCTAATTTTTGATAGAAAACGACGGAAACTTATTTGTACTCCTAATACTAGTTTAATAAACCATTATTTACATGCATAAATTTAAATTATTAAATAGAAAGTTACTATTTAGTACAAGTATTAAATAATCAGTATAAAGTAGGCAATATAGTCAATAATGTTTAATAATTTATATATACACAGTCTGTCCCAGATCCAATGAGACTGGTCTAAAAAAAGTACAAAGCGTTTATTATTTCGATTTTTTATTCTTGTTTATTTAAAATAGTCTCCTTCTGAGTCAATATAGCGCTGGAAACGTTCAACAAATTTTTCGAAACATTTTTTATACTCATCGGCTGGAATGGCCTTAACTATGGCGGTCGAAGTCTTTTGGATGACCGGGATGGTATCGAAACGATTTCCTTTCATCGCCAATTTCAGTTTGGGAAATAGCCAGAAGTCGCACGGAGCCAAATCAGGTGAATACGGTGGATGATCGATAACAATGATGCCTTTTTTGGTCAAGAATTCACGTACCATGATGGCTTTATGCGATGGTGCATTATCATGCAACAAAAACCAACTGTCTGGCTCTCGATATTCCGGTCGAACTCGTCGAATTCTGACCCACAATCGTTGTAGAACTCCCAGATAATATTCTGCGTTCACCGTCTGATCTTCTGGGACGAATTCACTGTGAACAATTCCCTTTGAATCGAAGAAAACGGTCAGCATTGTCTTGATTTTGCTCTTCTGAAAGCGTAATTTTTTCTCTTTTGGCTCTTCTGGTGACTTCCATGCCGCACTCTGACGTTTTGTTTTTGGCTCGTATTGAAAACATCACGTTTCCTTATCAGTTACAATGGCTGACATGCTTGCCGGATTCCTTCGGGACATTTTTAACATGTCTTTGCAATGCTGAACTCTCCAATCTTTTTGGTCGTCTGTCAGAGTGTGTGGCACGAAGCGCTCAAAGACCTTCCGTTTGCCCAAATCTTCGGTCAAAATTCGATAGACTGTGCTTTTCGGTATCCCAGTTTCCTCTTCGATGAGTCTCGCAGACACACAGCGGTCGCTTCGAAGAATTTCTTAGACTTTCTCGATGTTTTCTTCATTGCGAGTGGTTTTTGGCGGCGGTGCTCGGTCAGCGTCTGCAAGGTCCTCACGACCGTCCTCACGGAATCGGCCAAACCGACGGAAAACCTGTGCACGGGACATGCATTCATCCCCGTACACATTTTTTAGCGTTTCGTACGTTTCTGCACCACTTTTACCCAATTTAAAAGTTGGTTTTTCGACCGACACACAAAGTGACTTTACATAAAATATCAAACCACAGTGAAATATTAACCGAATTCGCTCAAATTTTGAGGTTAAGTAGATAAAGGGTAGAACATTCACCTACCATCATTCACTCATAGATGTCGCTGCGCTAAAAACTTTGATGGAACCAGTCTCATCGTATCTGGGACAGACTGTGTATATATGATATATAACAGCAATATTCACTTGTTGACTTATTAAATAATAGTCATTTAAATAACAATTATGTTGTTATTTATTAAATTTATTAAATTTATTAAATTTATTAAATTTATTAAATTTATTAAATTACGTTAAATAATAATTATGTAAGTTATACTTGTCATTATTAATTGTCATATTGTAAATATTTTCTTTAATCTGCGCCATTTAAAATTCCAAGAGTTACGTAAAGGGGCTGTGCCTTCATAATTCCTCTGGTTTGAAGAAACCCCAAATATAGAAGATACATATTCTATACTGATTCTATATTGATCAAAACGTACACGACCTGCATATTGAACAATATGAAGAAAATGAACATGCGATAGTACCATCATTAAATAATACAATAGAGGATCATACGACAATGTTATCATTTGATAGCTTAATAGATAGTATAAACAGAAAACAGTTTAATATGCCAAGTCAATGGATGCACATACAATATTGCAGTAGTGACACACGATTATTGGTATTTTTTTAGCAGCATGCAACAAAATAGAAAATTATAATGACAGATATTCATTTAACCCTATCAAAGAAGTTATACTCAAAGAAGACATGACATTACAAGTAAATGCCTTAAAGCGACCCGTTTTAAATATTCCATCATACATAACCATACCTCAGCATTGTCGCATCCATAATATGATTTACGAAAACGTCTATACATATCGTAAACTACGGCGTATTTATTTTTTGTAAAGTCCAAATTCATGTCGTCGTACGGATAACACTCTAAATTCAGATAGAGCTTCACGTTGATCAATTTGCAGTCATTGAAACGAGTTATATTTTCCGACATGACATTCTTCCGGCCAGTCTGCAGCGCAAAGATAACGTATCGAGGTTTCTCCAAATTAGTAGCAGTTTTGACAGTCCACAAGTGTTTGGTCGTGCTTTGCAGTAGAGGAAATTCATACAGATCCCACGAGCGGAAACTCATGCTCAGGTATCGTGCATCCTCCAAAGTTTTCAGCATGGAAAGTTTATTGATATCGTTCAAGATTACGTGAGGCATTCGCCATTGTATCTTGAATAGCTCAATCTTAGGATCCAGCGCTGAAAATCCTAGTAGACTGTTGTTGTCGCTGCGCGATCGTAATAGAATCAATTTGTGACGCGCGTTAATCACTATACGCTTGTAGTCTTCACAGAATCCTAGCAAAACGTTGAGCGGTACACAAAAGTTGAAGTACCCGTCCGGCGAAATAGTGTCAGTCGTATCCCACGCGGCATTTTTCATGATGGCATTTTTATCTGAAGATATCGATACATAGTTTTTGAGCGTTGAAGTTATTCCCACGTTTCTGTTACGATCAATCTCCACACCATCCAGTTCATAATGGATCTCATCAAACATGAATGCAACACCATTATATCCCAACGTTACAGTCGCACCATCGACTGCAACTTGTTTCGTCACCTTCCCCTCGACATAGAGATAACTCTCACATGGCAATATGTATAAATCCTGCTGCTGTATGGGTATTCGTATCTCGTCGCTATGTCCAAACGTTGTGTTAGCGTATGGATTGTACGTATGTGTCTCAATCTTGACGATGCGCTCGTCAAAGACCGGTTCATTTCCAATGTCAATCATCTTTCTCAATCGTTTCGTACGGTGAATCCCAGAGATTTCAAAAATTCAACGTTCAACGCGCTGAGTTTTTTTCGAACGAGGAATTTTGAACTGTTAATTGTACGTCTCGTAAAAAGTATATTTCCAGCTTGTTTCTTCTGTTCCACTTGATTCACCACAAGCATTTCATAGATTACGTTTATTATCGTCGCCGTCGATTACGTGCAATCTAATGGTAATCTCTTCACCACAAGCATTTCATAGATTACGTTTATTATCGTCGTCGTCGATTACGTGCAATCTAATGGTAACCTCTTCTCCTCGAAAATCGAGCGATCGTCCTTCTTGATCAACGACGCACCGTTAAATCAACGATAGACGTTCGATAGACGTTCAATAGATGTTCGAGAGACGTTCGAGAGACGTTCAATGGACGTTCGATAGACGTTCAATAGACGTTCGAGAAACGTTCAATAGACGATCAATAGACGTTCGAGAAACGTTCGATAGACGTTCGATAGACGTTCGAGAGATGTTTGATAGATGATCGAGAGACATTCGATAGACGTTCGATAGACGTTCGATAGACGTTCGAGAGACATTCGAGAGACGTTCGATAGTAATCGCGGGGAGGTTCGAGCCTACCTACATCCCGGCACGTTTCTCTCTGGACATTGCGTGACGTCACGGCGGCCATCTTACCCGTAAATGTGACGTCTACTAGCAATAGGCGACGGTGGTCTAGGAGGTTGGAGCCGTTGGAGCGTTCAATAGTAGCCGCAGGACCCAGGTTCGACTCTAGTAACACACCCGGCCCGTTTTTCTCTGGACATGTGCGTGACGTCACGACCGCCATCTTACCCGTAAACGTGACGTCTACTAGCAATAGCCGATGGTCGTCTAGGAAGTTCGAGCGTTCGATAGCAACCGCGGGGCCTAGGTTCGAGTCTAATAACCCGGCACGCTTTTTCTCTCGTGACGTCAGCATACACACTATAAGAACCTTTACTAGACGTCTACTAGCAACAGGCGACAGTGATCTAAGAGGTTCGAGCGTTCGATAGCAACGCGTTCGATAGCAACGTTCGATAGCCTAGGTTCGAGTCTAGCAACACCCGGCACGCTTTTTCTCTCGTGACGTCACAGCCGCCATCTTGCTCACAGAATCAAAAATTCTGGGGAGAAGGGGGAGTATCAATAAAGATGGGGTATCAATAAAGAGAGGGATCAATAAAGAGGGTATCAATAAAGAGACGGCATCAATAAAGAGGGGATATCAATAAAGAGGGGGGATATTAATTAAAATATTTAATTAATAAACGTATTTTGCATAATTAACTTGCAATTTAAGTTAGAACCCGCTTTGTCTATCTACTAATGGGGTTTTATCCTCATAAGCCTTCCGTAATAATTTCAACGTCTGGGTAAATGTTTTCCCCAACTTTACACAAAATTTAATGTTCGCTCCTTTCTCGATCGACATTTTGAAACGAGGATGAAAAACGCGCAATCAGTTTTGTCGAGGTATTAACGAACTGAATCAACGAGCGATTTTGGCGTTGTACATACATGTAAACAAGGCTTCTACGAACATAGCCCACTATCGATACGACAAATGGTGCGATATATATCATCGGTAACAAAAAGATTCCGGATCTTTTGGGACATATCGTGTATGTTTAACAACATGCATGTGCATGTTGTTTCTTTTTTCAAAATCAATTGCACTAGAATTGTGTAACATATCAAATCTATCATAACAAAACTAATAAACGTTTCGAAAATATTATTTGTTAAATTCATTACATGCTAGTACTAATTTTATTATAAGAACAATAGCAATGATCTGACTATTTTCTGATTTTTATTTTTTTGTAGACGTTCAATGCTCGATATTAATTGTCCCTGAACCACCGCTGGTAAGTCGCATTGAGGGTAGCCGAATGGGACATAGTGCTGTTTTTGAATGTCCAATCGGATACAAATTAGAGGGTGCTTCTGGTATAACATGCCAGTACAATGGTACAAAACAGTATTTGTTTCTACGATGAAGCGATTAGACACTTAATGAAAAAATATTATTTATATATTTTTTAAGGTAAGTGGTCAGCAGATGTGCCACGTTGCGAGGAGATCGAATGTCCGCTGATAAATATTCCTGATAATGTATTGCTTATCGAACATAACAATACCTTCGGTGGAAAAGCTGTTTTTACTTGCATGTGGGGACACAAACTCTCAGGGTCGCAGAGTATAAGATGTGAGAGTGATGGCAGATGGAATGGATCTATGCCGACTTGTCTGGGTGAGTTATATTGTTCTTCAATTACACAAATATACATTACTAGAAGGGAATGCTCTCTTTTGTGATCCTGCAAAATAATATAATATTATAAATAACTATGTACAATATTTGCAGAAATTACTTGTCCTGTGCCGGAAACACCACGAAGCGGACGTATCGTTGAGCAAACTCGATATCCCAACAAAAAGCAGTATCGTAACCGAATATATAAAGTCGGCGCATTAATGAGATTTGCCTGTTTGCCAGGTCATCAATTGATAGGAGAAGCGTCTATTATATGTACCGAAAATGGCACTTGGTCTCATCGCCCGCCAGTATGTAAGTGCCGTTACGATTGAGATTTACAATACCTGTTTTGTAATTTTGCAAAGGGTAAAGATATAAACATTAATCAAATTATTAATTTTTAATGTCATCCGAAATTTTATTAGACGTGTTAATAATGAAATACAGGGTGTTTCAAAAAGAATGTCCCGATTTGAAAATTGTATATCTCTGCAACCACGAATTATAAATGAATACAACTTGTACCACGTGAACGGCCCAGAGTTTGATATGACTACCGCTAAATGTGAATGAACTTGCGTGGGCTTCACTGAAAGCCTCTTGAATTCGTTATACATTCTCCTCTGAGGTATGTCCATGACTCTTTCCCTTACATAAACGCCCTGTTTCTTGAAATTGTCGATACGAACGACTAATATTTTTGTCCAATGATGGATTAATTCTGTAACGTCGTCTAAACCGTACGCTGAACCGTAATCATGGACTCAGTCTTGCTAAATTTGAAAACACAAAACGTCTTCTATTGATTGGACGCCATCTTCCAACTAAGCATAGCGGCTGTTTGGGTGCCAATGGTAGCATTTAGCAGTAGTCATATCAAACTCTGGGCTAAGGCTGTTCACATAGTACAAGTCACATTCATTTATAATTCGTGGTTGCAGAGATATACAATTTTCAAATCGGGACATTCTTTTTTAAAGACCCTGTATATCAATGATAATAATCAAGTTATAAACTGATTAATTGAACAAAATTCTAGGTAAGGTAAGATGCCCTTATCCAGGCGATCCTCCTCATGGCCGAATTGCTCCTCTCAAGTTTTGGTATAAACCAGGAGATAACATTCAAGTAAGTATATTTAAGGCCCCTGGACCCTCGTCGCGGCTATATTAGAATTGTGACGTCAGAAAGGGGAATTCTTGCATGCCATTTCAAAGTAAAAAGATATCCTTCCAAAACAACATTCGAAATGGTTTCAGGACACTTGTAAAAAGTTCCGAGTTCTCCCCTTTTGTTTGAACAGTTAATACAGAGCCGTAAAATGGGCCGTGAAAAGAGGTGGAAAAACACGTGCTCGAACAGTTGATCAAACGAGTAGAAATTATACTCCCATACATCGTATTTAACAAAAAACTGAGAACTCGAAATTTCTTATAAGTTTCTTGAATATGTCACAAAAGTTCACTAGAGCGAATAATTAAAAAATGGCACGCAAGAATAAATTGTGCTGTCAGCATGTCACTTTTCCACATTTTTTAGTTCAGCGTTCTGCAGCGAGAAGCACTGTATGTAACATGTCGATATTCTTGGGTTCTTTTTTGTGCTCTATCCACGGGTAAGATGAATTAGATAAAGATAAACAACGAATCTCTGTCTGTCTCTGTCTCACTACTGGCCAGCTGACAATGGCATCAGCAGGCACAAGCTACCGGCGATATTATCTCTAATAATCTCTCTCCTGTTCCTTATTCGAGTGTTGTATTATGGCTCTCGCAGTCAGCGTGATGCGTGACACGTGATCTATAATATCAGGCGTAGTAAAAAGAAATCCATTATTTTTCCAATAGATGGCTTTAGTTATCGGTATCTCGCGTTGTATAAGTCCGATCGGGTTCCACTAGATGGCGTTAGAAGATGAGATTTCGTACTAAAAAAACTTTTCTGACAGTTTTGTGATTAATTGACTCAGTTTTGTTTGAGCGCGCGTCAAAGATGGACACTAGCAAAGAGAAAATACGCTATATTTTACAGTTTTTCTTCGATAAAGGCGAAAACGCAAGCCAGGCGGCTGAAAATGTGAATAGTGTTTATGGTCCTGATACTGTAACAGCCAATCACGCGCAATTTTGGTTTCGTCGATTCCGTTCCGGTAATTTCGATGTCAAAGATGCACCACGCACTGGAAGGCCAATTGTCGAAAATATCGATAAAATCATGGACATTGTCGAGTCCGACCGTCATGTAAGCACTGTTTCGATTGCCCAAAAGCTAAAGATTGCACAAAAAACCGTTTGGAACCATTTGAATAAGGCTGGATACAAAAAGAAACTCGATGTATGGGTGCCACACGAGTTAACGAAAAAAAACCTCATGGACCGAATTTCCATCTGCGAATCGCTGCTGAATCGCAACAAAATCGACCCATTTCTGAAGCGGTTGGTCACTGGTGATGAAAAGTGGATTACTTACGACAACTAACGTCAAGCGAAAACGGTCGTGGTCGAATCGCGGTGAGCCGGCGGAAACGGTGGCCAAGCCAGGATTGACGGCCAGGAAGGTTTTTCTGTGTGTTTGGTGGGATTGGCAGGGAATTATCTACTATGAGCTGCTCCCCTACGGGAAGCAACTTAACTCGGAACTGTACTGTCAACAATTGGATCGTCTGAAGGAAGCAATCGCCCAGAAGCGGCCAGCTTTGGCTAATAGGAGAGGAATTGTATTCCATCAGGACAACGCCAGGCCACACACATCGATAGTGACTCGCCAGAAGCTCCGGGAGCTTGGTTGGGAGGTTCTTATGCATCCACCTTATAGTCCGGATCTGGCACCAAGTGATTACCATCTGTTCCTGTCCATGGCGAACAATTTTGCTGGTGGAAAATTCGCTTCAAGAGAGGCTTGTGAAAATCGACTGTCTCAATTTTTTGCCAATAGGGACGAGGGCTTCTATGAGAGAGACATAATGAAATTACCTTCAAAATGGCAACAAGTTATCGAACAAAACGGCGCATATTTGACCTAAATCGGATCATTCTAACTATGGTAATTAAAGCCTTCAATTTCATGCAAAAATAATGGATTTCTTTTTACTACACCTGATATGTGCGTACAGAAAATGAAAAGATATTAATATTTTCAGCAATTTGCGTAGCATAGGACTAACAATGCGATTTTAAGTTTGTGCACGCGTTTTCTGCTTCCTCAGACGCACACAGAGATTTTCAGTCTAACCGTGTGACAACGTACTTACACAGATGCACAGATTATTTTGTGTGTGTGGAAGCGGAGAAAAACGCTTGTATGCGCGAGCTTGAAATCGTATTTGTCCCAAGTACACATGTGAATACACATGCACAAACTCCCGCGCCCATAACCACACCCATGAACCCGCACGCACGCACGCACGCACGCACGCACGCACGCACGCACGTACGCACGCACGCACGCACGCACGCACGCACGCACGCACACGCACACGCACACGCACACGTACTTCTACCTACTTGGAAACACGCGTGAAGTTTTATTTTACTCGCCGTGGGTTCTTATCACAAAATCTCAATAGAAATGTTTACATAATCATAATTCTGCGAAAAAAAATCATAGAGACCTTAACGACTCCGCGTTGTTTTCGTTTTGGAAAGCCCTTTCAAACGAGCCCTCACTCAGCCCCACATGTCATTTCCTGACTTCCCTCTCCTCCCGCCCCCCTGTAATGTGGTGGTGGTGTTTTTATGGTTAAATGATAGACTTTGTAATCCCATTGTATCTCTATAAATTTCAATCCAATAACTTAAACCATTCAGAAGTTATTTAGGTGGTCCGGAACTTTTGGCGGGCACTGTATACGTTACGTATAACATGTTGGTTATACAAGGTGAGATAAAAAGATGGAAACTCTTAAAAATCTCGACAGATATAAGTTTTATAGAAAAGTATTTCAGACAGAAGTTATAAGGCTCAAACCAATGTATTTACTGATTTACTGATCTTATCAGTTTGAATGGTGTTGCCAAAGTCAAGTCAAGATCAACGTACTTTTTTTTATAGAAACTCCCATTTTTTATTATATCGTCTTTTTCTACTAATTAATTTGAATAACTTTTGTCTGAAATTTTTTTTTATTTGCTTAATATTTTTTGAGATATTCATGGCAAACGGTAACTTTTTTAATATTTAACTTACGATACCAACTCGCCAACTATTTGTCGGAAGAAAAAATGCTATTAAACTTTTTTACTCTATTTGGTTTCAAGAATATATTGTTATAATTGCACCTTAACTTTTGTTAATTTGATGATTTCGAAATTTTCAAAAGTCAATAAGTTAACAAAAGTTAGGCAACTATTGTAACAATATGTTTTTGAGACCAAATAGAGCAAAAAAGTCTAGTACCATTTTTTCTTTTGGCAAATAGTTAGCAAGATATCGTAAGTTAAGTATTGAGAAAGTCATCAAGTTTTCCTTAAATATCTCAAGACATTAGGTAAATAAAAAAATGTTTCATACAAAAATTGTCCAAATTAATTGGTAGAAAAAGATGATATAATAAAAAATGAGGGTTTCTGTTTAAAAAACTAAGTTGACCTTGACCTGACCTTGGCAACGCTATTCAAGATCAAATTGATAAGATCAGTAAATACATCGTTTTGTTGAGCTTTACAATTTTTGTCTGAAACAGTTTCCTGTAAAACTTATATCTTTCGAGATTCTTAAGGGTTTTTATCTTTTTTTCTCACCTTGTATACAGAGTGTCACAGACCAGCTGTACCATCTGATTTTTTTGTAAACACGACGTTTTAGGGAAAAAATGTTTCAGACAAAAGTTATATGGTTTTAAAGGGCACACAAGACAGTGATATCAATTTGTTTACAAATGGCGCCACTTTCGAGATATTCATTGATCATTTTACTTTTCTTAAACGGAAACCCCAATTTTTTATTATATCATCTTTTTCTACCAATTAATTTTAACAACTTTTGTCTGAAACATTTTTTTACTTGCCTAATATTTTTTAAGATATTTAAGAAAAATTTGGTAACTTTTTCAGCATTTAACTTACGATATCTTGCTAACTATTTTATAGAAAAAATAGTAATAGACTTTTTTACTGTAGTCTCAACAATAGCGCTCTAACTTTTGTTAACTTATCAATCATTGGAAATTTCAAAATTAACAAATTAAAAAAGTCAGGGCTATTATATCCATATATTCTTAACATCAAATAGAGTAAAAAAGTCTAATACCACTTTTTCTTCTGACAAATAGTTAGCGAGGTATCATAAGTTAAATGTTGAAAAAGTTACGAAGTTTTCTTTAAATATCTAAAAAAATATTAGACAAATAAAAAAATGTTTCAAACAAAAGCTGTCAATTAATTGGTAGAAAAAGATAATATAATAAAAAGTAAGGGTTTCCATTAAAGAAAATTGATGATCAGTCAATATCTCGAAAGTGGCGCCATCTATAAATAAAATGCAATCGCTGTTTTATGTCCCCCAACCAAACAACTTTTGTCTGAAACATTTTTCTCTAAAGTGCCGCGCTTACAAAAAAATCGGTTGATCGGGTGGTCTGTGACACCTTGTATATAGGGTATTCCAGAACTATCGGATTTCCTATCAGGGGATGAATGGGGGTGCAATTTGGAACCGAAAGTTCCTTTACCACTTTTAGATCAGAACATCAGTTTGAGTTATTAAATAATAAATCTGACCAATCAGATTATTCGGCGGACGGGCACACGGTGGAGTAGGATTCAAGTTTTTATTTTAATCTATCAAAATGAAAATTTTCAAATTCAAAAAGGAGGAAAGAGAAGGATGGGCGCGGAGGGGAGAGGAGAGAGCAGAAGGAGGGGAGAGAGAGAAGGGACGACGTAAGTGTAAGATCTATTGAGACACAGAAAGCGAAAAACAGTTTTCCATTTATTGTATAGATCTTACACTTCATCCTTCTCTTTCCCTCTCTTTGAATTTGAAAATTTTGAGTTTGATAGATAGCGATTGATAGATTAAAATGAAAACTTGGATCCTACTATATGCCCGCTCGCCGAATAATCTGGTCAGATTCATTAGTTAATAACTCATAAACTAAAGTTCTGATCCAAAAGTGGTAGAGGAACTTTCGCTTCCAAATTACACCCCCTAAGAAGAAACCCGATTTCTGGTTTCTGGTCAATTCTGGTACACCTTGTATATACGGGGTGTCTCATAATAAATATTGCAGAGCTCGTGGAGACATAGAGACGATTAAGACAAACATAAAGGTCCCATACCGTTTTGCGAGTTTCACAATAATTATCAAGTTATTAATAACAGAAATCTGAGGCACGCGCCGACATACATGATTGGAGAAGCGTTGCAGCCACTCGGACCACAGTGCAGCCCAATGGATCCAGCAACTGTTGCTAACGCGGCGAGACGTAGGAACGGCGAGATAAAATCAAAAGGCACGGTAGTGCTTCGCGCCAAGTTCAAGCGCAACGAAGTAGTGCCTGAACGGCGCGAGGCACACCGTGCCTATATTACGCGAAACTGCGAGTTCAAACGAGATGAGATATTCATATCTCAGTAATGGCTGAACCGGAGAGAGAGAGGGGGGAGGGAGGGAGGAAGGGATTAGTGAGAGAGAAAGAGAGAGAGAGAGAGAGAGAGAGAGAGAGAGAGAGAGAGAGAGAGAGAGAAAGAGAGAGAGAGAGGAGTGAAAGAGAGTGAGGAATATCACTTCTTTTGTACAGTAGAATAGTGTTGTAGAGTTTTATGATAGTTATAAGTTTTACTTGTAAAAATTTATGTACACATATATACCTTAAAAAAATAATTTGAGTTTGATATTTCTAAACATAACACAATATATGTTGCGCTTGTACTTGACATCTTTTTTTTACCTTTTTGTTTAAACAGGTAGGTTTTATATAAGTTTTACTTGTAAAAACCTATGTCATCTATTATCTTTAGACATTCCCTCTCTCACTCTCCCCCCTCACCCTCCCATCTCTCTCCTTTCTCTCTTTCTCTCTCCCTCCCTCCCCCTCCCTCTCTCTCTACCTCTCTCTCTCTCTCACTCCTCTCTCTATCATTCCTCTCTCTCTTATAAGTAACGGTGCGTTATCCTTCTTCACTGCGCGCCAGCAATAATCGTTGGATCGACTGGGCCGCGCTATAGCCCGAGCGGCTTCGATATTCTTTCAATACCATCTGAGCGTATGCTTATTCATTAGATTTCTGTAATTAATAACTCGATAGTTATTGCAAATATCGCAATACGATATAAGATTTTTATATTTGTCTTAATGTGCTCTATATCTCCACAAATTCCTTGTACTAAATTATAAGATACCCTGTATAACAGAAATATGAGTATACTACGTCATATAATTGTTATATAATTATATAATTATTGAAGTATTATATGGCAGTGATATATATATCGATTGCTAAATTCTTATACAATCAAATTTTTTTTAGCAACTATAGGTATGTAATTATATGCAGCATGCTATCAGTAAAATATCAATTTATAAAAATATTTTTCCAAATTAAATGCTATAATTATTTTATATCAAAAGTGATATTATAAACGTAATAATATATGTAATAATGAAAAATTCTATGCAATTTCTAAATTAATTAACAATTATATTTATCCATTTATCCAATTAAATTAACAATAATTTATCCATTTTCATTATTACAAATTCTAATAAAAATTATCATTACCATGATTTTAATTACAATTAATTAAAAAGTTCCATTATAAGAATGTATACCATAATATAATTTTTGCTATACCATGGTCGTTATTTTTATATACATCAATATATCATATTTTATATACGAGGAACGAAAGCCATCTAACAGTCGACACACCTACACATATAAAAAACTAAATAATATGGATGTAATGCAAACATTATATTTGTTATATAATGTGTTCCATTTAAGTTATAGTGATAACATTTAGCAAGAAAGGTAGTTTAAAAAATACTTTGCATTGCGCTGCCAACAATTTTACAACTATTGTGATTTTCTGCTAAACGACATTACTCAGTAAGCAATCTGTTAGCAATCTGCTATCAGATTGGTGACAGATTCAATTGAGATCTATAGATCAATAGATATTTATAGATATCTGTATCTATATTCAAATCACGTTCTACCGTCAGAGTCTGCTGACAGAATCTGATACCAGACTAACAGCAGAAAGCAAACAGAATCTAATTCCTGCAAGCAGATCATGTTCAGTTTCTATCGTCAATTTATCATATTCTATCATCAAATCTTGTTATATTTCTGTTAGCAAACCTTTGACAGAGTCTGCAGTAGACAATATAATTTGCTTTTACAAGTTTTGCTATCTGGGTAGCAATTTACGCTTTTTAACATGTTTACTAAGCAATTGTTATTTTTTCCAGCATATTTTTCATATGCTAGATCGCTTAGAAAATATATCGGAAAAGTGCAAACTGTTAAATATCATAAAGCAGAAAATCTTACAACAATTGCAAAGATGCAGGTAGCACAATGTAAAACGCTTTTTAAACTGCTTTCTTTGTTGAACGTAACTATTACTGTTATGCTGTTATAATCAGTAAATAACATAGGATTATAAGAGAAAGAGCAAGGGAAAAAGAGAAAAGAGAGTCTCAAAAGTTATATTTTATTTATAAAAATGGATTATGTAACTTTAACATTAATAACGTATATCGGCTATTATATTAATCGGCGTATTATTTCTATTTTATATACATAGATAAATTTGTATTTACTTGTATATAATTATGTCTCAAACGCAATTCCGAATTGCTCAAACCTGATTATAAAATTTGCATGAGTAGGTAACATGTTCACCTGGTTATGTGACTCCTTTGGAACCAGTGAAGAAACCATCGTGTCGGGAAAATGGTATTTGGAGTGCACCGCCGCCACCCTGCCGGTCTTACAAAGAAGTGTGAGCGTGTGGACGGATTGCTGGGAATGCTGCCTACAAGTTCTGTAATGATATTATGTCATCGTGTGATTTAATTTTAGCTGGAAGGACGTATACGATACGGGTATCAGTGCATGAATATTAAGAACATCGAAACTCGCGCATTTATATTGGACTTTATTTCGCATGATAGGCATAACGTTAATGATCTTACCAAATGATGAATATAGTTACGGTTACGACTTACTGAACTGACAAATAATCACGAGTAGATCAATTAAAGGAAGACATTTTACGTTAAACGTAGGTCATAAAACTATTAGTATTTTGTTCATAATACTTCCAAAAATACAACAATTTTAACAATAATAAATTCCTTTTTAACAACGTACATTTACTTAATATTTTCCCGCGATCCTTTCTACTTGTCCAATATTGAAACGAAATACCGTTCTTTCTTGCTACAGGGTAGATACAAAATAAGTATTTTAACATCATTATTGACTGACATGGTTACGACTCTCGTTGCTATAATAACTAGAATGCGATGTGCATTTAATCAATTGATAGTGAATAATAGTGATAATTCCCTCGTGTACATGATGTGATGTGACGTTCAATATTCAATATTGTAATCTACAAAAGGTTAAAAAACGCTGGAAAAATGGGTCGAGCGAAAGCTTATAAAGTGACACAGGTGGAAACATATATCACGCGTGACAGAATAACTCGATATCGTGATATTTTGAAGTTACATGGTTAAGTATAATTAGATATTACTGATCTTTTGCATAGTTTGTTTAGACTCACCTAATAGTATAAAGAAAATGTCTTGAAATAAAATCTATCTTGAAATATCTTTCGATTGTACGAATTATTTGTATATATATAGCGCGCGATAAGAAGCTGCAACTGTCGCAAGCTATGAAATTGAAGTTGACAGTGTTAAGGAAGCTGGTGTCCTTGCAGATGAATGTTAGGAACCATCGTAAGATCATCAAGCATTTATCTGAAGGTGATAAATCACAATTACTGAGAGATCGCAGGGAATTTTATTTGGCATTTAATCAACTGCAACTATCCGTAAGAATAAGATTGTCGATTGGCAGAGTTACAAATATATTCTGTTACAATTGATAAATCAGCACGACGAAAAGAAAATATGATAATTTAGGAGTAAAATGCAATGTATGAATTTCATCGTACTGATTGTTTTGTAGGAAATTTATGAGGTTATATATCAACATAATGATATGAAACGTCGATTCTTGGACAAGCTATATTATGAGAAAAAGAAGAAACTGAAACATGCTATCGAATTACAGGTAGAATTTTTTATGTTATATGATATACAATCATATATAATTTATCTACAAGATGGACATACTTTATTAATATGTTATATTAGTATATCGTATAATATTGTTCGCGCGCTTTGTATATCCCATTTATGATATTACGATTTACATCCGCTTCCCAATAAACACAATATTACATGCAACATATCTGTTAGTTGTAATTCTCTACTCAACAACATAACTGTTATATAACGAATGTGTTATATAATAGTTATATTGTTGAATAGGAAATTACAACTAACAGGTATGTTACATGTTACATTGAATTTGCTGGGTTATTTCATGTTAATTTAAGTTATATAGTAAGATTTGTACTTTCATTTTATCTACAAGCTGAAATGCAGCGATTTTTCAAATGAATGCAAAGAAGAAAACTGTGATCGACCACATTGCGAACAACAACAATTGGTAGCAGAGTTGCAACGATCCATATCGAAATATAACGCGGCGAAAGCGATATACTCCATATATTTATCAATGTTGAATAACTTAAAAAAGGTAATTTTTAAAATGGTTTTTTTTAATATTAATTTTAAAAAAGTAATTTTAAAATTTTCGAATAGTCTTCTGAGATGTAATACGTATTGATTTTTCGTATATTGATGTATAACATGTATATGTGAGCTAACAAATATTAGCTGAAATCATTGTTATATTATAATTTCGTTAATTATAATTTCTTATTCAAATAATATTATAGCTATATAACAAATATAACAAGTAATATCCCCAAATAACCAAACCTGCAAAAGCAGATTTTGCATAGTATCTGCTACAGTTTACTAGCAGAAATACAACAGAATCTGATAGCAGTGTATGGTGACAGATTGACGTTAGAGAAACTAATCAGGCAGGATCATTCCAATATATTTAAATAGAACATACTGCAAATAAAGCTCAATTTTTGCCACTCTGTTATCATATTTTGTTAGCAAATTGTGTCAGCAAAATATAAATTAAATACGAACATAGATATCTATGGATTTGTCGATAGATTCTGATGGAATTTATCATTAATCTGTCGATAGATTCTGATGGAATTTATCATTAATCTGTCGATAGATTGCTAACAGATTGCTTACAAAGATAGTACTAAAATGTAATATATAATGTAAATATAATAGTTGTAATATAATAGTTATATATACAAGGTGTCCCAGAACAATTTTTAGAGAACTCGTGGAGACATAGATCGGATTAAGACAAACATTAAAATGGTGCGGCAAGATGGCGTGATAAAATACGAATAACGTTGTCCTTCTCCTCGCCGCGCATCGGCAACAGTTACTGCATCGACTCGACCGCGTTATGTCCCGAGAGGCTGCAATGCTTCTCCAATCATTCATGTCGGCGCGCGCCCACTCCTCAGATTTTTGGCATTAATAACTTGATAATTATCGTGAATGATTCATTTGGGTGCGCGCTCATTCGTCAGATTTCTTTCATTGATAATTCGATATCTATTATAAATATCGCAAAACGGTATGGCATTTTTATGTTTGTAACCCGCTCTATGTCTCCACGAGCTCTGTAAAACTTGTTCTGGGGCATCCTATATATACAGAGTGTTTGAGAAATTTTTGACCAACTAATTTGTGCAAGTAGAACAGGTGAAATTGAACGATTTTTTTTTTTATGCCCTTTCAAACGATATACTACAATAAGAAGTTTCGTTTGAAATTTGTAAGTTGAGACCCTTCTACGGCATCCCCTTGGGAGGATAATCTCCCTAACTTCCTTAACACGTTCATTGTCAGACTGAAAATTTGAATTTCGTGTGGTGGCCAAAGTTATTTTTTCTTTTATTTATTTTTAGTCGTTTTTTTGCACGATTGAACTGGCATTGAACTGAGTCTTTTCGAGGGTCCTGGTTTGTCACTCATAATAAAAAACAATCGCATAAACGGCCGTTTGGTGAGAGCCCGCAACACGCAATATCGCGTGACCGACAATGAACGTGTTAAGACGGTAGCTTTTCGAAATGATCAAACATATATTTCGCAGCTTTTTATAATTTTGAGCCGTTTCCGCAATATAGGAGGTGGGAATAGATCTTATAGAAACCCTGTATGTGTATACAGGGTGTTTGATAGCTGATCATGCGGACGAAAGTTGGAGATAGATTGGGAGTAGTCGAGAAGAAAAGTCATGTACCATAATGTCAAATTATGGTACCATAGGGTCAACGTAAATAACAAGAGGCGAACGCGCGCGACGAGGAGCGAGTGAGCGCGAACGACGAGGAGCGAGCGAGCGCAAGCGACAAGAGGCGAGCGAGCGCGACGAAGAGCGAGCGAACGCGAACGACGAGGAGTGAGCAATCGCCTCTTGTCGCTTATGTTGCCCCTCGCCGCGCGCGCTTGCCTACCGACACTCAGTGACTCCGCCTGTATCAAATGTCTACGTGCTTACTGCGGCCGCCCTCCGCTCTCTACGCGCTCGTTGGCTCACATGTTTTAATTAATAACTCGGTAACTATCGCCAATTTGACATTATGGTACATGACTTTTCTTCTCGGTTACACCCAATCTATCTCCAACTTTCGTCTGCATGATCAGCTATCAAACACCCTGTATATATACTAGTATATACAGGGTGTCCGGAATGTGATCATTAATATTTTCTGTACTGGTAGAACTCGTTAAAACAATTAAAAAAGTCCTGTGCCATTTTACAATTTTTCAATATTTATTCCGTAATTAATTAAAATGTGTAAACGAATGAGCGCACGAGAAAGCGACAGGACGGGTTCTGTGCATAAGAAGATGGCTTACCTTGCACAGCGAGAGGCAACCGTAAACGACAAGAGGCGTGCGCGCGAAGAGGAGCGAGCGAGCGCGAACGACGAGCGAGCGAGCGCAAGCGACGAGCGAGCGAGCGCAAGCGACAAGAGGCGGCCGCCCAGCGCTCTCTACGCGCTCATTGTCTCACATGTTTCAATTAATAACTCGATAACTATTGCTAATTTGACATTATGGCACATGACTTTTCTTCTCGGCTACACCCAATCTACCAGTACACAAAATATTAATGATCATATTCCGGACACCCTGTATGTGTGTATGTGCGTGCGCACGTGGTGTGTATATTCGATATTTACTAGATGAAATTTTTGTAGGATGCAATGTTCTTTGATACTTTGTTGAGCATGTTGGAAGAAGACCAGTTTTCACAGTGTAAAGCTATGTTGACGGTAACAGTGATAGGTCAATTAGCAACGGAGAATTTAGACGACATCAGACAAAAATATAAAAAAATGACTAACGTCATTTTACGTAATATGAGGTTCAGAGAACAAACATTAAATAGTGTACGTTGTCAAGTGCAAGACTTGTGGGCTTATGCGCTATCTTTAGTGCGCGTTGAGGCAAGTGTCTATTCTTAAATAACTTACAATAACTTACAAAGACATTTTCTTGTTGTTTCTAATGGTCATAATCCACAGAGTGATACTGCATTCGTAAAAAAAGATACCGATGAATCGTCCACCAATGAAATACTGGAAAAACAATTAGTACATTTAGAAAACATCTGCGATCAAGTGAAAGAAATCCTCCTCGTACGTTCTTATCACGATTTGTTATCGAGGTATTCAGTTTTTAATCTACAACTTAACTCTTTACTCTTATGAATATGGTCAAGCATATTAAATCCAGTTTTAAACATAGCATTCATATTTAGTTTATGAGAAGTTAAAATATTTTTTAACTTTTCTTCAGAAGTTATATATTTTCTAAAACATTTTTGTAATACATTCAATACTTGTAATATATTCAATTTCTTTCTGTGATTAGATTTGAAAATCAATTCAAGCAAAAGACGGATCTACTAACGAAATTAAGCACTAATATAAAAAATCGCGATTCTTTGTTGAGTAAAACGAATCATGCTATACAAATTCTTGAGGGCCTCAAGCATTCTAAAACCATAGCTGAACAGTATGTACATATACGTGCCCACAATTATTAGATATTATTAATATCAAGTATGTAATAAAATAGAGCTATTAAGCTAATTAGTATTCAGCAAACACAATAATATAACATACATTATCATTAATAGTATATACAAGGTATTTTCGAACTGATGATACAAAGAGAAAAAGAGTGATTCTACATGAAAAAATAAATTGAAAATATAGAATAACGTTTTTTTTTATACAAAATCTAGTTTTCGAGAACAACTTTTAATATATGTTAGCTCATTATATATTATTTTTTCATGCATATGTGTTTACAAACATTGTCAACACTGAAATTTCTTTTATATCAGTCTTACTAGCTTATCTATTTATAAGTATTGAACAATTGAAAGGAAACATAAATTTAGCTTTTCAACGTTTAAAGACACAAAATACGTTGGCAAATATTCATACAAAATAAAGAGCACAATTATGTATACGGTAAAATGAACGACACTTCTAATAATTTTTGACCCAGATAGCCAAACCTGTGCGAGCAGATTTCGAGCAAAGTCTGCTATCATAATTTGATGGCAAATAGGCAACAAATTTAACGCAAAATCTGTTATATCAAATTATGCCATCGATCTGCGGTCAAATATGCGCCAGATCCTACTGTTGGATATTTGACGGCAGATTTGTAGCAAAAACCGCGCAAGACTTGCAGTAATTTGATGGCAGATTGGCGGCAAAAACCGAGCAAACTCTGCGCGTAGTTTGGCGATAAGACCTGCGCGGTTTCTGCCGACAATCTGCTCGCATGTCGACCTGTCACGCAAGTCCTATCGGCAAAACACGAGCCTAATGAAGACACAGATGGCTATGGTTTTGATGTGGGGATCTGATCGAAATTGACGTCAATCTGCGCACATTCTGCTAGCATTTTGCTTACTGGGAGTGCTTCTTGTATGAAGAGGCATCTTTATGTACTTATACTACTATTTTAATTTCCGAATTCAGTCTCTATGCGCACAATATGGCAAAATTTGTCTATCTGGGATGTAACACGCATACCTGACAAATATCCAAAGTTGTTTTTCTTAAAAACGGAACTTTCAAAAAATATTCTATACTTTCAACTTATTTCTTTTTTAATGTAAAATTATCCCTTTCTCTTATATACTACTAGTTCAGATATACCAGTATATAGGTTGAGTCAGCAGAAAAAGGAATATTTTGAGAAATGATAGTATAAATGATTGTAAGAAAAAATTTATACGTGCACGGTTATTCTTAGTAATTTCGGCGATACAGCTGTTTAAATTTTATAGAAATATATACAATAATAATAAAGAGGGGCATCCGCCCCCCTCCCTCTCCTCCACCTCGATATTAGAGCAGGACCCGGCCCCGACCGGGCTACCCTGCTCCCCTAGATCTTCCGCGTTTACTGATCGGGGGGGGGGGGGGCGGAGCCCTCCCCTCGGCGGCCGCCATCGAGCCTATCTGGCGTTTCCGCGCCCGCCTCTGGCGTCTCCCCGACGGAATCTACGTTCCTCTCGTTGGGAGGACGGCCCCTTCGTCGACGCCCCTATGCGCCGGTTGCCACCGCCCCCGACTTTGCGCGCCGTCACCCAACAAGCCACCCTTGTGACTTACCAATAATATTTTTCTGTAAGGTAAAGGATATAACATTTTTAATGCGCATACGATTACATTGGAGTTTTGTCATATACAGTAAAGATCCTGACCGAACATTTTAATACCATTTTGCATTTATATTATATAACTGCAATTTTATACGAGTCGAAAATTACATTAATATGTAACAACATACAGGGTGGTTGATTATAAGTTGCCAACCCGAAATGTGAAGGTAGATTGGGTTAAGATAAACATAAAAGTCCCATACCGTTTTGCGAGATTCGCAATAATTATCGAGTTATTAATGACAGAAATCTGAGGAATGGGAGCGCGCCGACATAGATAATTGGAGAAGCGTTGCAGCTGCTTAGGCCGCAGCGCGGCCCAGTTGATTCAGAAACTGTTGCCGGTTCGCGGCGAAAGGACAGACAATGAGCTGCTATTCGTTGTTTTATCTCGCCGGACCTACGTCTCACCGCACGCCGCCAACAGTTGCTGGGTCGAGTGGGCCGCGCTGTGGCCTGAGTAGCTGCAACGCTTATCCAATCATCTATGTCAGCGCGCTCCCATTCCTCAGATTTCTGTCATTAATAACTCGATAATTATTGCGAATCTCGCAAAACAGTATGGGACTTTTATGTTTATCTTAACCCAATCTATCTTCACATTTTGGGTTGGCAGCTAATTACTGGACACCGTGTATATGTAGTATCATAATTAGCATGCATAAACCAGACATCGGCATAATATGATTTATTAAAAAAAAAAATTAATAAAAAATAATATTAATTGATTTGACTAGAGAAAATAATCGTAAAACAATCACTAAGAAATAAAATAAACAATTATGAACTACCATATGCATTAAAATTTCTATTATATAAAGTTTTTGATGAATGTAATTTTAAATGACCGGAATCTATTTCAAATTTAATGCAATTAATGTTTTTAGGCTGGAAACTAGACCGAGCAATAATAATAATAGTTAATAATAATTGCTAATCGATTCCTTTTTTAACTTTTAACATCTGTGACAATAGAAAAAATACGTTCGGCTTCAGCATTTGAATGGGAAAATGGAAGAACTGAATGAACTGATAATTCTAAAGGGAACATTTTTTCACCATTAAAATTTTTAAATTGTAATATTTTATTCTACATATCACTAAGTTCTAAAGATGTTAGTTCAACTTTTTCTATATTGTTATAAAGAAAGGGTAGATTTCTCCACTCAAAAGCTAATTTTATTATATCTATATGTGTTATACGCATTGCAAGTAAACTCAAATTTTTAATTCTAGTTCTACCCTCATGATATAAAGCAATTTGTGGCTGTAAAAACAGGAATTGTTCAAATATTTCTTCTTTATATTGCAAACGTTTTAACATTTCACGAAGTGCAGTTATATAAAAAGCTAAACAATTTTCTCTAACTTTATGCGCGCATTCGAAAGATAATGTTCTTAAAAAAAGTTCGCAGTCTGACCCTACATGTACTGGGTGTTTCAGACCACCCGGGTCACCCGATTCTTTCGTAAACGCGATATTTTAAACAAAAATGTTTCAAACAAAAGTTGTAGGGCTTTAAAGGATCTATTTACTGACGCTATGAATTTGACCTTGGGATGATCTTGAAAAGCCCAATGAAGATCAACATAAAAATCTTAAATAGCAACCTCAATTTTTTATTACACCGTCTTTTTCCATCAATTAATTTGAACAACTTTTGTCTGCAAAATTTTATTTGTTTAATATTTTTTTAATATTTAAGGAAATTTAATATTGTTGTGTCCGAGCCACAAAGTTTGTGGCAGCGTCCGTTGTCCGTGAGCCTTAGGTATTTGATGCTGATTTTGACAACTGAACGAAGATTGTCAGGACGACGGAAAATCGATAAGAAGAAAACAACAATAGCTGACTGACAGCTGACTGAGATGCCACGAACTGCTAACTCTACTTTTGAATGAGCTATAGTGCATTCGAAAAGGGAGGTCGAGAGTATAAACCGTGTCAGAGCTTTTGGGTGTATGGGCTTTAGTTTCGGAGAAAATTTATTGTAAAATGATGTATTTTTCAGCTGTACGGTAAGTACAATGGATAGCCATAATTTTGCATGAAGCGCGCTAGCTGTGCAGGTTAGGCGTGCGGCTACTATTTTGCGTCCGTGCGAGCAGAGTTCAATTCCCCGTAGTGACAATTTTTTTTTGTTTTTTTTAGAATCAATGATTGTTTATGAATTAATTGTAAATTTATTTATTTATTATTCGTTATAGTAAGAGAACGTATACATAATGAAAAATATCAATAAATTTTGTGTTTTTATTGTACTGTGTCTTTATTCATTATAAAATTCCGACATCACTGTACAATGTTGCGGGTGATAATTTATATAAAAACATTCGAAGCATAAATGGATCGCACACCATGAACATTTTATAAACGAAAACTGCGTATTGCAGATACATTTTTTCTTATGTACATCCGGTGGAAAACACAATTGATTAACATTATAATTAACATTATAATAAATATGTCACGTTTATCTGCTAATTTTGACGCGTACCAAGCGAATTCAATCATTTTTACATATCGCGGAGCACATAATAAATAATGAGTTAATGATTGAATTCGAATTGCATCATATAACGGACTTTTTAAGAAGTTTCTAGTATTTGTCTGTGGCACATGCGCACAGGCAACAACCGTTAGGACCGTGACCCTAAAGTCCGTTGGATTTCCCTCACTGTTCTCACGTGTGTCGATCAGTAAGCAAGTCTGCGAGCATCCTTTGTGTTAAATTGATTTTATATAATAAAAATGGAAGGGTCAAGTATGGTTTTGTTTTTGAAAGAACATATCCAAGCATTGGCAAAGTGTGATATTACAAAAGAAGATTTAACTGACAGCATTGCATATTTTAAAGGTAATAAATAATTAAATAATTTAATAATCAAATAACAATAATTAAATAATTTGTGTGTATATTTTTATAAACACTCACATTTGTGAACATATGCAGAAATATACAAAGATATTTCCTTTTTTGTAGATGTGCTAATAAAATTTGATTTGATTTATGCTGAAGTACCTAAAAAATTTACGCATTCGGCTAAAGAGGTTGCTGGAAAATTATTCGAAAGCTTCGTTTCAATGTTAGGAAAATATATGATGGTAGAAGATGTGGAATATTTTTCACCAAACGAAAAAGAAGTAGAGAATATTCAAGAAGAGGAACTGCAAGAATCCACATCATCAACATCGGAGGAAGAATATGTGCCACCTGAGAAAGTTTCATATCAGGATAGAGTGCCTTTTGATACAAAATTAAAGATTGTTATGACCGCAAACGAGCATCCAACGTGGAGTTTTCATGGTCTACAAAAGCGATTTAAA